GTTTCGCATAACATATATATTTATATATAAATTTATTATTGGTCAATAATTTTTTTCATTACAGATTAGAAACTCTTCGATACTACTCTGATATTTTGTAATTTAAACTGATATTATTTAATAAGTGGATGTAAAGGTTTCCTGTTAATCTGTCGCGTTAGGATAAAATATTCATTATTTACTAAATTTTAGATGGCGTATATTTTTTTAAGGATTTCTTCGCAAGGTCTATGCATATAATAGCTAAAGAAAAATGGGTCACGACTCTGCTATAAATATATATGAAATTAAGTAGACAAAAAAAAAAAAAAACCATTTGAGCTGATTCAAATCATTCTTAGAAAGTACTGAATTGCTTTTTTAATTAACAATTTCAGTAATTTTTATGATAATTTAAAGGTTTGTTGGCATTTGTTTTAATTTTATAAAACTGTTACATATATCGCTACTTTTGATTATGCAATGAAGTATTATCCTTAAAAATTTGTCAATATCATAAGTAACTTCCCTTGCAATAAGATCCTAAGAAGAGAAAGTTAGTAATAGAAAGTTTTTTTAATTTTCTAAAAAATAGTTAAACTTTAAGTTACACTTACACATTTATACTAAGATAGTTTGAATGATTAATTACTCTCAGCTATTCATTTATGAAATTTTTGTGTTTTATTGTAAAATTAAATGTAATGTAGATATTTCAATTCCGACTGAATTTTAAAAAAATTGTTTTAATTTTCAGTCTAAAATTTCAAAAATTTTTAAGTTCGTTTTCATTATCATAAAATAAGAACAAAAATTGGGAATTAAAAATAAAATTATCCATGAGTAATCAAATTTACTAAACAAATCTATTACTAAATATTTGTTGTATAGTTTAAATTTTACATATATGCGGAAATATAAAAGCATTATGAATGTTATATACATGCGGTTACATAATACAAATATTTGCTTACCTCCAATATTTTTGATTCAAGTTCTTTTTGTAGCCAATTAAAGATCACATTTTATTTACAGGAACAGAATTACACGATACAAATAAAAAATTAACGGATGAAATTAACAAATAAAAATTACTCAGAAAGAAAATATAATTTTTTTTATATATGCAGTCCTAGAAATCCAAGAGAATTCTTTGTTTGAGGCATGCATTTTATGACCGTAAATAGGATCTGTGTATAGCCGATATTTTAAAAAGTAGATAAGATAAGATAGAACCCATTGGAAGAAACGAAGAACATTTTCCCTTAGAGTAATATGAGCTGGCTACTTTTCTGAGGGGATAAGCTTTGAGGGTGGTAAATCAATGAGGAAAGGGATACTATCTAATTTAATCACTGAAGAAAAGCGTTTATTGCTCTCTTGATGAATGGGTAGCAAAGAGGCAGCAGTGATTATTTTATTTCTGTTACAGACTAATAAAAGCCTCAAAATAAAATGTCATGGGAATTCTCCATTTTTTTCCAGTAAATAAAATATTTAAAAATTTTCTAAAATTAAGAAAAAATTATCAATGGTATTAAAAAAAAATTGCTTTGTACAATGGGGGGTGTTTGAACACCCTGAACACCCCCCTACGTCCCTGATTCTAGTTTAACAGGGTTATAATGGAGCAAATTTTAATTCAAACGAAGTATTGAAGTTGATGATATTTCAACTGTTTGGCGATAAATTTCCATCTAAAAAAAGTGGGTATAAGGAATGGTGAAATAATTTAAATTAAGATAAAAAATTCCTGATTTTCTTTGAAATTCCCCGATTTTTCCATGTTTTGTCCAGTACAAAAAAAATTCCCTGATAATTCCAGGTTTTCCAAGTGGGTGGCCACCCTGATAATGAAATAATGCTAAGTCCTGCATTAGCAGTATAAATACAAGAATCGAATATATCATTGAATTAAAAATATCAAAGACTAGTAAAAACATTTCTAATTATTAAATACTTACTGGAGACATATCAACATTTAGATTTTCTTTATCATTGTATAGTGTAGAAGAATTTTGAGTATGGGTTGCTGACTCAATATTCTTCTCTTCAATACTTTCCTAAAGAAAAAAAAATAGAGAGATCTTAAAATATGGAGATCTTTGTTCTTTAGAACGTTTTTAAAGAAAAATATAGAATAATATAAGGAAACTTTCTTTCAATAGTAAGACAGATCTCGATTTACTCATTTGGAAATACAGAGCCTAAAAAACAAATGACTCTAACTTTCTATGTATATATCAGGGGTTTCCAACTTACAAGAGGCCGGGGGCTACAATTAAAAACACCAGTCAAAGCCGCAACTTTATCAAAATTTTAGGACTCTTTTTGTTTGAAGGAACATTAAATAGTACTATCAGATTTTTATCAAGTTGTACAAAACAAAAGTATTGAATTACAAATTAAAATAAAAAGTAGATTTTTACCTGAGAAATAAATGTTTTTGCACCGTTGGTATGTTATATTTCACAGAAACGAAGAAATTAGGGTTTTTTTTAACAAAGAAAAGTACTTTAAACTTCTATATGTTTTTACAAAAATTGTCCGCAAAAAATTACAATTAATATATTTTAGTTGGCGGGCCACAAAAAAAGGCCACATCCTGCCCCCGGTTGGCATCCACTGATATATATTGTTCAATTTCAGGACTGTCCAATTGACAGCAGAAAAAAGAAGTGTACTATGTCAAATGATAGATACCAAATCATTTGAGAACTGGTAACCCCAATATATTTTAAGTATTTTTCAGAAGAAAAAATTATTATTGAGCATAATAGGAGCATAGAATGAGGTATAAAAAAGCATTAATTTTAGTTTTAAATTCATAATTTTTTTAATATTTCCAAATAACATTATGGTTTTCAGTTGTTTTGCATTTAGTATCATCGTACTAGTTCAAAACAAGCTTATGTGGTAAACAGTTGTAAAAGGGAGTTCAGGGAAAGGAAATGTCCTTTGGGCAACCCTGAAGTAAACTATGCAGAAGAAGAAAAAAAACCACCATCTCTTGTTGAGAGAACAGAAGCAGGCCTAACATTCTGTCATCATTATCATCTTTCCTGGCTACATAGAGTAAAGTGTCAGCCAATGCCTTCATTATGAGAACTTTTCAGACATCTCTTCTTGAGGCAATTGTATAATTTCAGCACTTAACTTTGATGGTGTCAATAAATTATCAGTAATATTCTCTTTCCCAGCTTAGTATAATTAAAAAAAAATTTATTTATACTATTTCTAATCAGTTTGTCATTCATCAGAAATTTTTAATTTTCATTTTATAAAATCTGTATAATAGCAAACATTGATGCTTTTTAACACAGTAAAAATATATCTATATATTTTGTATGATACATCTACTGTTATTTTATTTATACAGTCGAACTTGTTTATCTCGAATTTCACGGGAAAGGCGAAAAATTCGAGATAAGGAGGTTTCGAGTTTTACAGGTACCGTAATTTATGGAAGAAACGCCGCGGCGTTTACGAGTTTAAAAGTTTTAAAATTTTAATTGCGGCATTTACGATATTTTAAAAAAAAATTTTAAATTTTTCAAAGAAAATTTTTTTAATCAAAATAGTTGCGAATTATGGCAAAAGATGGTGCCACTATTGATTATTATTAAGGGGCGCCACCACCCCTTAAAGAAAGTGGGTTGATCTCGATCTAGTTGCCGCCGAACCGCGAGGTTGATAGCTCTTTCACATTTTTTCTCACTTTGTTACAACGTGCTTTGTAGANTGGCGCCACTATTGATTATTATTAAGGGGCACCACCACCCCTTAAAGAAAGTGGGTTGATCTCGATCTAGTTGCCGCCGAACCGCGAGGTTGATAGCTCTTTCACATTTTTTCTCACTTTGTTACAACGTGCTTTGTAGAGAAATTAAATTGTGGAAAGTTTTCTTTCTAGTATTTGCTAATATTTATACATCGTTGTTATGGGCGCGACTTATATACTGATATCTTCTTATTTAAATAAAAGAGGTATATTTCCAAAAAATAAATAAATTAAATTAAAAAAAATATTTATAAAATGTAAATATGTAGTACAGTATGGAACTCGAAACTCGGCACTTAATCCGACCAATTTTTTTTCTCTTTTTTTTTCCTTTTTTTTTAAAGAAATTTTTTTGATAAGAGAAAAAAAAAATTCAGTCATATTTTCTTTTTATTTGGAATTTTTTTCTCTTGAAGTAAGTAACTATATTTTATCTTTTAAAAATAAAAACATGAAGAGTTGTACTATTTTATATGAACCATTTTTATTCATTGATCTAACAAATTAAACGTGCAGCGGAAACAAATAATACTGCTTAACAAATAAAATTTACTTAAATAAAATAATTTCTTTTCATACATAATGTAATATAAGCTTTATAAATAATAAATAACGAGTTCCTTCATTTATATTAATTCAGAAGTTTTTCTGTTTCGCATAACGAAAATAGGTATATGTTAGCTATTTCACTTTTATGTCATACTCATCAAAAATATATATATTTTTAAATAACCTAGTTTCAAGAAGATAGACTAAGAAACCTAGATTTCTCTTAGATGGTATCTTTGGTATTATTTAATAGTATATCTAAATAAATTTTTTTGAAATGCATATAAATTAAATATATGAATCCAATCAATCTGAACTATTTTGACTGGTGTCTGGTTTTATCCATAAAAATGCTACACCTTTAAAGCCATATTTTGCTCAACATAAAATTTCTGAAATATATTGAAACATGAAAATATTTTACTTAAACTGTTCTTTATACAGGGTATCTGCACCATTTCAGATTTTCAAATTCATGACTTTTCATAACTAATTCCAAGAATTTTTAATGACTTAACGAAGTTACTATTTTCTCCGACAAAAACATAACAATAAATTTAAAAAAGCATTATAAAAACATTCATTGAAATAATAGGTATAACCAAAACTGTTATACTCTGCATCTTCATATTTATAGATTTTAAATTTAAAAACCAAGAGTAAAGAAGGAGTTGAAGCAATAAAATAGCTGAAAAAAATACAAAAGCAAATAATTTTTTCCCCTTTTTTTCTGCAGAATTACATTCCAAAAGATACTTTTCTTGTTCATCGGAAAGGAAAAAATACTCCTAATTTTTCTGTTCTCATTTCGGAATAAAAAAATTCACCAATGACTGGCTTGCCTTCAGCTATAATTTTAAATTGATAAAATAAAAATAATAAATAATAACAAAAATTCTGAAATCACAGAAGTTTAAAAGATAATTCGTTCAAGAAATGATGTTTTTTCTTTCATCTTTTTAAAGAACACCATAATTTTTAAAGACCAGGATAAAAACATTTTATATTTTAATCAAATATGATGGTGAGTGGGTTACAAATTGTGTGAGATTCTGTTACAAATTCAGATATTCGGAACACTATGAAATTGGGGGGAGGGGAGTAAATTCCATTTTAAAAATTAGAATTTTCGGCGACCTAAATCCATAACTTTTCATGATTTTTTATAAAAAAAAAAAAATAGTTAAAATTATGACATTTCATGACAAATTTTGTTCAATACCAAAATTCATGACTTTCCAGGTGCGCGGAAATTATAGTATTAAATTCATGTATGGTGACAAAACATTATTTTTATAAACAAATAAATATAGGATAATTCAGCTATAATACTGTCTTTAGAAGAGTACCAAATCAAACACAAAAATTAACGTTTAAATAAGGTATGGTACTTTTTAGCTGGTGGGCTTGTTTATTTTCTTTGATTAGAGATTAACTTTTAAAATTGCTACTAAATTAAATAATTTATTTATTTGAAAAAACTATTGATTGGGTTAAATTTATCATTACAAATTAGTGTATAATCAATTCTATTTAACCACCTGCACTCAATTACAGACTTTACCTACTAATCATATGAGAGTACTACCGAATGGTTCAACAAATAATTGTGGCGTTTAGTGAATGGAAATATATTCCAAGTATTTTTCAAACAAGATAAGTTGCTATTGTCAATGCCTACCTATTAGCTTCACTTTTCGGCTTAGTCACAAAAGAACTGGATATACCATCCTTTCGCCGTTCGGTGACCAAGGAAAATTGCTTTCAGCACTTCTCCTGACTGATAGTTTTTTATTTTAGAAATCTTCTACTTGCTGCATTCAAACTCGGTTTTTACAACTAATGATTTAAAAGGCTCACTAATACCGCTTTACTTACCGCTTTACCCGTTTTCTTTTTGGACTCTGGCAGTTAACAGTTTACCACACCGGCCAACATTTGCGAAATAAAACAATGGAGATTTTACTAGCGACATTTTTTAGGCTACAAGAGAAGTTTTGATTCATCATGTATAAGTATGCATTTGATACATCATGCATAATCATGCAAGTCAAAAAGAGAATTTCAAAATTTGAAATAATACATGCACTTACATTTAGCGGGAAGTAAAAAATATATAAATAAATTTTAATCTAAAGAAGACTTTTTTAAACTATTATTTATAATTACTTAAACTACAATCATTCAAGATACTGCAGTACTCAGGGCTGCCACAGAAAAAAAAATGAACAAAATAGTTGCTTTTAGTAGCCTAAAGCATGAAAATAATTGCCGAAAACTATGAAAATAGTTGCCTAAATAAGAACAAAAATTCAGCAAAAATAAGACTAAAATTTTATTAAATGACTTAATTGTCATATATCATGATCCATTTAGTCAAGTTGGTGGCAAATATGATAATTTTTATATAAACGTTAGTGTTCTAGCACTAAATTTTTATGTAAAAAAATTTGTATATTTGCAGAAAATTAAATACTTTTAATTGCTAGAATTTATTCAAAAAAATACTTTCTCATTAAAAAAAACACACTTTTTCTAAGAAATTTCCCCTTCTATCAATAATTGATTTAGCAAATATATATATATATCGCATTAAAAATTGGGTTTTTTTAAAATCGTGCAGAACTTCGTAGCAATAACTGTTGAACAGGCGATCGAGAAACGAAATAGACTTACGATAGAATCTGTGCAAATTGAACGCATTAAAAAGTGACGACTTAAATTTGCAATCTAAATTTTTTTATTCTTATTTTAGATTTTTTTAAAGAAAGAAATTCAGTGTGTTTAGAATATTCCGCGGGCTGCAGGTTTTCAACCCAATTTATGCTAAAAAAAACATTGCTAGGAGTACAGGAAAGTCTCCTAATAGTCTCCTTTTCCTGAAAATAGTTGCTTTTTAGCCTTTTCAGGCAAAAAAAAGTTGCCACAGTCGCCTCATGCTGATAATAGTTGCATTTTAGTCACATGTGGCGACCCTGCAGTACTGGAAATAGCACCGTCAGGGGAATAAGAGAAGTATTTTTGCCATCAGCGGATATTTAATCGGCAATTTTTTTCTTTCAATTTCTTCAACAAATACAGAGAAATTTGAGAATATACGGGTAAACAAGAGATAGTTATAAAATACAGCAGTCTTCATTAAAAAACAGGTATGGTCTACTTTTCTTTTCTTGGCATTTGAACGGACCCGTTGATCTTTTTTCATCATTCAAATGATTGGATGAATTTTTTGCTACTTTGGGTGTTAGCAGGCTTTCTTTCTCTCTTTACTTCACTAAGAAAGAAGCTGAGAAGAGGATCCCACTGATCTAAAATTTAACCTGAACATCGGCCAAGAGACAGCCACTGAGTAGGGTCATGTTTCAAAATTTTATGCCTTTCAACATCATGAAGATGTTGAAAGAATTTTAATTTTTCTTTTTGCTTAGAATTAAATTCCAGATCGTAAAACATATCAATTATTGCCTGGTCAAGGGGAAAATTCATTGTTATTTGTAGAAATGGATTTCAGTACAGGTAAATTAAGATGATGAAAAGGGCATCCAATAATAATCAAACCATTTTGAGCATCTTTCAAAAATTCTTGTGCTCCATTATTGTCACCAATCATTACAGGTGTATTATTAGCACCAAAGGAAACACATTTCTGAAAGGGAATATCTAGAGTGCTAAACTTATCCAATACGCTGTTTACAATATTAACCCCAGAACAGTCATCTTTAATAATAGTAAATGCTAAAACACAACTTTGAGATTTTTTGAATTGATTAATCAAAAAATGTTACATTTAATGAATGGAGTTTTGAGTCAGAGACATTTGTCCTATTAATTGCAATTGAAAAGGCAGCGTTTTTCAATTGATTTTTGCAGTTCATTGGCCATCTCATTTACTAAAGCAGAGCTCTTAGTTCTGCCACTATAATTCTTTGCTATATCAGAATCAGGAAACATAAAAAAGTTTTTCAGCATAATCGGCTGCACTGATTATTCTATCATTCTATTACTGGGAAGAAAAAAAACTCAAACCTATAACATAGGAACAGTGAATTACTTCTTTTTCAAAATGGGATATGAATAACAAGGCAGTGATTTTAAGGGAAGGTGATCTATTTTTGACAAAAAGGGCACATTTATCAGGTACCAAGGGCAAACAACCCTTCTAGAAACAGTAAAGGAGAACACTGATTTAATTTTATAATGGTTAAAAATGTTTTGAATTTTGCAATGTTCAAATTCTTACACTATTTTAAACTATGTAATTATAAATGACAAAATACAAAAGCGGTCATATAGTTTCTGGTAAATAAAACTTCAAAAAAGCTGTATTCTTAAACCTTCATTTTTGAGGAACAATTTAATTGTTTTATTAAAATTGTCACTTAAAACTATCAAAAATTATTTTCATCTGAAATTATCTTTAGATTAACAAATTTTATAATTATCGGCAAAAAATTTTCAATGTAGATTGATTAGTGTTTTAGAAGTCACCTCTTTAAATGATCTCCCCCATAACCATAAAGTTCTAACAAAAACGTTTCTGTTATGTGTTTGCTATGACGTGGACATTTTAACATTTTTATAATCAACAAGGAAGTTACTTGCAATATTTAGTTACGGATTTACTTGTTATATTATACATGCAACCACGGAAATATTTTCATGTTACATTTTTGAAATGTAACAGTTACATTTGGTCCTCTTTGCATTGAGATATTAAATAAATTAATGCTTTGGTTATCACTAGGGTTATGCAATTTATAACTATAGCAAACTACATCTCTTTGCTTAATATATAAAATTATGTCAAATATTTTACTTAGAGCTTAACTGCATATTCTTTAACAGATGTTATTAATTTGTAAACACAAGGTTGTTGTTAATTTACGTCGCACTAGAGCTGCACAATGGGCTATTGGCGACGGTCTGGGAAACATCCCGGAGGATGATCCGAAGACAAGCCATCACAATTTTGATCCTCTGCGGAGGGGATGGCACCCCCGCTTTGATAAGCACAAGGAGAAATCATTATATACCATATCCTTAGCTCAGACAATTTATTTAATCTGGTACTTTAAACATAAATAATGAAAAAAAAAATTTTTTATTTTAATTCACATAAAATAAGCATTAATAACATTTTTAAAAGTAACTTACTGTTTATATTATGTGAATTACAAATATTACCTCTGACTTATCCTCTCCAATTTCCAATGATTCTTGAGAGGTAACAACAGGAATTTTACCTAAAAAAAAATCACAAAAACATTTGTAATGAAAAGTCAAATTTACAAGCAATTGTAACTAGTAAATGCGAAAAAACTTCTGGAATTGATAGCTTACACTTCAATTAATCCACGTGAATTGTGAGTCCATGCAATAAAATCTTATATTTTATTTTGATTGGACATAAGGACTCCACAACATAGAAAAAAGTAAATTTTGGTCAAAAACTAACAAAGCAAAGGATTGTTTAAATATGATAATTGATTTGGAGCATGTTTAAATATGATAATTGATTTGGAGCATTTCTTTAATGAATATTTCACATTACGTTCATCACAAATTAGTTTATAATTTATTTCAGAAGTTCCACAAAACAATGACAAAAAATACTATTAAAGAAAAAGCTAATGAACAAAGGATGTGTGTCATTTAGATTCCAGTTCATATTTACAATTGACTAAATTTTAGAAACACAACCCCAAACCAAAGAAGAGGTATCAAACAGATTTTAAACCATTCTTAAAAGTTTGAATTTTTCATCTCTGCTGATTTCATCAAAAAATATCGTTCTGACATTGAAAACAAGACTAAGCTCTTCGATAAATGTGTAAATAGTATATATAGGTGAAAAATTTCTACTTGCCAGATGCCACTGGCAACAAAATGTATAGGGCCAGAAAGAAAGTAAGAAAGCTTGACTCTAGTCTGAGAGTTACAGAGCTTGACACTAGGGCTGCAATTGACAGATGGTATTCATGATCCAGGGGTGATTGTGAGCCCAACTCAAAAATCCTGAAAATTTCTTGAGTAAAATCATTAATGACACATTTCAAAAGATTAATATCTTAATAAATTTAAGTATTAATAAATTTTATCTTGCATAATTTAAATGAATAATTTTGTATAAGCTTACTTTTATCTCTAATCACATTTATTATTCTACCAGAAAAAATATTTACAAATGAAAGAGATGCAAAGTATAAATTCTAGTTCTAGGATATACAAGAATTTTTATTTATAAATGTGATCGATGATTTCTTGAGACTTTTGGATCGTGAATAGCAACAAAAAAAAAAAGGATTTTTTCCAGAGCACAATCACCTCTGATGATCTTAATTTTCTATTACATTTCTTATTTTAATAACTTTTATTTAAATGGCTAATAAATAAACAAATTGAAGTTATTTGTGTTGTATAACAAAAAATATATCTTTTTCGTGTTAGACAGTAAGTTAATATGGCATAGAAAATTAAAACTTAAAAAATGCATATTTTGATATTTAAATGAGGACTAAGTATTCCATCTTTTTTATGCCTTATTTGTTAAAAGTACATTTTTAATTTAGCTACAAGGTTCAAAAACAGTCAAGAAATCAGCTAATATAATTTTAGTTAAAGAAAGCACAGAAATAATTATAAGTTGTTTCAAATGAATGCTTATTAATCATCCTATTGCTTGACCTTAGCTTAGAATTTTATCCAGATATTTTAAACAAGATGCTAATGAATACTTAATAAAATGTTATTTATCACCATAAAAATTTCTGTCTAAAGACTTTTTTTAAAAAGTTTTGAAGCTTTATTCTTGGAGGTTCATTCCACGAAATTAACACCTCATGGAGGAATCTGTAGAACTGAACATTCTGATTGTGTTATCAATCAATTGAATTAAGTGAAAAAATATTAAATAATAAACTATCATATTAATACACAAGAATAACATCTATAAAATTTAAAGAGAAAAAAATACTCTGTTTCTAACAGGGTTCGCCAAGTGGGCCCACTTTGAAAAAGCCCGCCCGGGCGGGTTTTTTCAAAACGCCCGGTGGTTCACAAGTGGGTTTTTTCAAAAAAAAACTTTTTTTTTTTACTAAATAGGTAGAATTTATTGCTAGCTTTTACTATAAAAAATTGCACAAAAGTTAATAATCACAACTGACTGTTGACACCACTAATTATTAACTGTTAACTTTGCAAAAAATAGCCAATAGAAAAATATGTAATTGCAAATTTTCTTGGCTAGCTTTGTTTTTAAATAGAATTTTTTGAAATTTTCGTTTGTTGCAAGATAATACGCTAAGAGAGCGCAAGATAATTCACATAAGTACCCCTGCTAAACAGTTCCCGTACCCCTAGGGTAGGGGTGCACAACGTGCGGCCCGCGGGCCAAATGCGGCCCTTCGGCTACTGAAGTGCGGCCCGCGAGAGCTTCTAAACACAATTAAAAGAAAATTTAAAAAATGGCAATTTTTAATCGCACTTTTAAGTCATCACGTTTTGACACAATCAATTTTAAGATTCTTTAGTAAATGTACGTTTAACGCGCTTTCTTGAAGCCGAATTTATCGTAAATATAAATGATTTTTTTTAAACAGTTATTTCCGCTTTTCTACGTAATTTTGAAATAAGGCTAATCGAGAACGATTTTGAAAATGTCGAAAAGCGAAACAGAGAACATAAAAATCAATCTTAATTTTTGAAAATTTTTCTTAAAGCTGAACATCTCAGTTTTTCAATTACCAGAAAAAGCCAAGAAAAAAGAATTAAGTCAACAGAAATGCTATTAAAAATTACTGAGTTATAATGAAAACGTCTGAAAAAAGTTTTCTTTTATTTAAAGAAAATAAAAAGATAGAAAAAATGTTCTTAATGTAGTTCAAAAATGTAGTTAAGTGAAAATCTTATGCCGAAAATCTCAATTTAAATTTTTCTCATTGCCATAATTTTAGAAGAAAAAAAATTGCTATAAAATAAATTTTATTTGTAACTTTATTTTTTAAAAAAATGCTGAGTCATAATAAGAATGCCTAAAAAAAGAAAAACAGAAAAAACAAATTTTTCTCAGTTCCTGAAACAAAACTTTAATACTGAAAATCACTCTTTTCTATATAAGTAATATCTATAAAAATTCAGAAATAAAAAAAACTTAGAAAAATACATTTCTAAAAAATATTCTGCCAAATACTCGTTACATCCCTCCTAATTTTAAATGCAATGTTATTGCAACTTGAGAAATTCATAAAATGGCGGAAAACGTGAATTTTTAAACTGCTCACTGTTTGTAGTTTAGATTTCAATGTTTTGTTGTTTAAGTGAACTTTTTCGATAAAAAAAAGGAAAATGTTTACGATATAAAAAATCTAATAATTAATAAAATAAAATAATAAGGTACATTACAAAATAAGCATTGAATTTTATTTTGAACTATCTCTGTTTTGTTTTTATTTTAGGCTTTTGTTTAAAGCCTATAAATTTTCTTCAATTAAAATATTTAATTTGAATTTATATTACTTAATTACGACTAAACTTTTTCCTACTTTCCTTCAGTGAGAATTGCAGTTTTTTTTAATTTATTAGAATTTGATTCTAAAATGAGTTTTCATATTACATGATATAAAAAAAAAAATTTCTTTTCTTCAATGTTTATTTATTTTGATAAATCTATTGTTCATATGATAGCAATAGCAAGATTTTTTATTGATAAAAAAATGGAACTATAATGTTTAAATAAACATTATTACGTTTGTCATTAACAAGTCTAAATACATGTGCGGCCCTTCGTTAGCCAACCTGCTGTGCAAGTGGCCCTTCACTCAAAAAGGTTGTGCACTCCTACCCTAGGGGAACGTGTACCACACTTTGGGAAACATTGGTTTAATGGAATAAGCGAAAATTATAATTCAGAAACAAGAACAGTAAAAAAAAAATATTTTTATTGATTACATTTCCAAGAAGGAACAATTTGAAGAGCTGAGTGGGTAAGGAAGGAGCAATTAATTAGGAGCATGCTTTCACTTTCCTTAAATAACTTATATGGAATATGCTTATTATTATATTTATTAAATTAAAAATTATTTTCATTTTAAATTAGATAAAATAAGTAACAGCCTGATAAAAAAAGACATAGAATATTTCCTTGTGACAATGAAGCCAAATTATTTAGTGCTTCAAATAAAGAAGATATGAAATATGTTTTTAAATGTATAATTAAAGAAATAAAAAATTTGAAAGCCTATTCGTTTTTAGTTCTCTTAGAATTTTTAGAAATCTCATTAACTTTAAGAAGTCTCACTGTGTTTCTGGAAAAAGTTGAGAACTCCTCAATTTTTTTTCTGTAACGAAAACCCTGGTATAGTTTGTAATAAAAGCAAATAGTATTAATTAAATTAATTTATTCATCAAACTATTCATTTCGCTTCGTATTCCACAGAAGTATTTTTGTAAATTTCATTAACTGTTTAAAAGAGGAATTAAGAAGGCACATAACAAGTTCTACAACTGCACAATTACTATTACTTTAAGCTGTTGATCAAACCTGTAAAATGACGAACTACAAAATGCTGATATTTTTTATTTGAAAACTGGCTTTTAACTTTTTTAAAAATTTAACAGCATAAGAGCCAGTAAAAAGTTTTTATTCTTCCTTTAATCAAACTAAAGAACAGTTAAATTCGTGAATTTAATAACATAAAACAACAATCTAGTCCCGTGTTTTTATAGAAATAAAACACAAACTACCTTTTTTATAAATACTAACCTTCATTTGACTTCACTCCATTCTTATAAAGATGAACTGACGAAGATAGACAATTTTTTCCTGTACTCATTGATGTTTTACTTAAAGTCTTTTTATGCGATCGCCTAGGACTTGCATCTGGTTCACCAATACTAGCACGTTTAGGAACATCATTCACAAATTTCATAGTTGAGGAACATTCGTTAGATGAAGAACCTTGTTTGGTCGGGACAGAGGGACTTTTACTAAAAAAATCCAAAATTGTTTTAGACTTTTTCATTTTAAAAAGAGAATTGCCTGCTGAATAAAATTTGTTTTCAATTAATCCGCGCAGTGAAATGATGATGATGATGATTGACGATCAGTTTTGTAGCTTTTTGCAGTTTGTAGCTTATAGCTCGCTTAAAGTAAAAGGTTATTTTCTTGCATACAACGTAACAGGCCCTATTCGCGATCGCAACGAACTATAGGG